TAAACTGATTTCTTGGATTGTTCTAGGTACACCATTGGTCTTTCATGAATTGGATACTGTCGTTTCATCAAGCGACACAAAATGCAATTTTATCGTAATTTGTTTGATGTCGGAAAAAGTTCTCCTTTCGAAACGACAACCTCTAATCAATTCAAAATTGCACACTTTTTATTAAAGTAACAAACGTAACAATTGCAAGAGGCACACAACGAGTATTTTGAATTGTTCTACCAAATCACCATATAAAAAATGCAATGAAAAAATTCTTTCTCAAAATGCGATATTTATGTTCTGCATGTCACCTTCTCTAAGCTCATGCTCTGATACAAGGTTGGTATCGGGCTAAAATCACCTAAAAATCAATAGCTACATCACGTATTGCTATTGGTCTCACTTAACATAGCCATGAAGGGAATGCAGTCTGCTTTGCACCAGGTAATACAAACGATAGAAATTACAAATGCATTTATGTTTTCTGATAAACTTAATATGTAGATAAACGTTATTTCGACAGACGTTATTAAGTTATGCAATGCTTTATGTTGTTGTGGCCTGGTTTTCTAAGAATTTAAATTTCAAATTCGATGAGGTCAACGAAGATACATTATGTATATGGATGAATGTGTAACACATACCTGTATTTATGTACATTTGTAAAGACCACTATCGTTCGAGTCTAATTCATGCAAGAATATGACAGACAAGCTAGTTGAGTTCTATCTTTGGATTTTCTTCTTGCATTAATGATCGTCCAGAGTCCAGAAAAGAAATTGAAATTGACAAATATTAACTTCCTCGATATAACTGCTGAATATAACAATGAGGGCCACATTATAACGAATTGGTGTAGGAAAAACGTGTGGTATTTGAGCTATGGTGCCAATGTTATGGATGTCCACAAAAATGATGTCATTAATAGTTTAACAGAGTATTGTTGTCATACCCTGATAACAGACCGCCTAACCTAATGAAAGTGAGAGACATTCTTACAGAGAATGCTGATACCAGCATAAAGAAGAGAGTACACCAAAATTATAATAAAAAATAACGCACTGACGAACAGAAAAAAAATGATATCATCACCTTAAGTCGCAGGTCTATTTGAAAATAAAATAAATACTTTTTTTCGAAATACAAAGTTCGTATAACACATGAACTAAAAACATATTTTCAAACCTAAAACCCCTAATCGAAAAAGATCTGCAAGGCTACTTTATTTACAAAATAACATTCAAGTATCACCCAAGTTCATATATAGGACAGACTAAACAATATTTGTATAAAGAAAAGAATGTCTGAGCATGAGTACGACATAAGAAATAAAAATGATTTGTCCACGGCGTTAGCTAAGCATGCAATTATAAAATAGCATGAATTTTACAAATATAAAAATTATTAACAAAGGACTGGGCGATTTCAAAAGAAACACCCTTGAAATGATATATATGAAGAAAGACACCGCCTGAATAAATTATAGAACTGATACAAATAATCTATTAAGTATCTACACAAATTTAGTAAAAAGAATGTAGCTGCTGCATTCTCCCACCCATAGCACCCAGTCGATTTAAAAAGATAAATACTTGTATATATTTTTTACCTTTGTTTTATTTTCATTTTTGTTAGAAAATATTATTCGCCAGTGAACCTACACTCAAACTACCCGCATTTATCTGGCAGAAATTATTTTCTCCAACTAGGAAGTCATTAATTTTACATTTTTCAACATTTTTTCTTTCTTAATGTGTTTTGTGCCGTTATTTCTGACACTTTTTTTTAAATCAGGGAAAGAAAAAACTTATTCTGGAATATAAAGTACAACGAAATTGGCAGTAGTTGGTCAAGAGCAGCCTGGAAAACAATAAAAAACATGACACAAAACAAACAACAAACAGTGAAAAGCGACGTTGGTCTAGGTAAATGGATCATTACAAAGGTTTGCTTATAGAATCTGTGAAGCACTCATCTGAAATAACATTAGAGTTTCTGGATGCATTGTGTGAAAATTAAAGAGACTTGAGTGTCACTTTATCTATTGGTCGGCTATATGAAGTGACGTTGAAGATATTGAAGAACAGAGCGGATTTAGAACCGCTCGGTCCTGCAGCGACAATCTCCTTTGCATTAAATAGGATTGCTGCTTATCTCCAACATTTTTTACAACTATGAAGCAGTGGTTCCAAAAAATACAGTTAAATGAGGGTGCATGTTGGGGATAGACAGGTATATACCTACATTAATATTTGCCGACGACCAGGTAATCTTGACTGAAGGTATGAGGAAGAAGCCAATTATATAATGTGGAAACTTATAGAAGATGAACAAGATATGCTGTTTGGGGGTTAGAAGTTAACTTAATATGGAATCTAAAGCTCAAGACATTCAAACGGATATCGGCATAATAAAGAAAATGACAGAATTTAAATACCTATGCGTTGAACTAAATGAAAACGGAAGAGATAACGACGATATTTTGAGAAAAATACAAAAATTAAGAGCTATCACCAGAAAACTATGCTTTATCTTGTGTGGGAGACAGGTATCAAAACAAACAAAAATAAAACTATTTAAATCGCTGATAGAAAGTTGTGTAACATACGGAGTAGAGATTTAGTCACTAAATGGAGATACCAGAAGGAGAATAAGTGCAGTGGAGATAGGTTTTTGGGCAAGAAGTTGTGAGTTGACTTTAATGGACCAAATTCGTAATGAGGAGATAAGGAAGAAATTGGATATTAAGAAGACGAGATCGCCTTGGGCAAACGGAATTTAGATGAAGATATTTGTCAAGACAGAGAGTCATGGCGCTTAGGATGCGGTATATATATATATATATATATATTGAGACGTGGTCATTGTCGTCTAGACCAGTTAGGTGAAAAATTAAAGCTTCCGCCTTTTGTTGGGTACTTCGACAAAATTTAAGCAAAGAGGACTCTTTATACTTTTTTAATTCTCTCTAGCTTTCAATGGACTTTGCCATCATCATCAGGAGCTGCAATTACAATGATAACAGTAGCAACAATAGTGTAAAATGAATTTAGATTGACTTAACTTACATCCTCACATACTACTGTAAGTTAAGTCAATCTAAATTCATTTTACACTATTGTTGCTACTGTTATCATTGTAATTGCAGCTCCTGATGATGGCAAAGTCCATTGAAAGCTAGAGAGAATTAAAAAAGTATAAATTTAGTCGAAGTACCCAACAAAAGGCGGAAGCTTTAATTTTTCACCTAACTGGTCTAGACGACAATGACCACGTCTCAAAATATATATATATATATATATATATATATATATATATATATATATATTGAAAGATTGGCACCGTATAGTCATTCGTGATGGACGTGATTCAAGAGAATCAGAAGCAGCAAACTAAAAAAATAGCCATGCATTTGGTAGAGGTGTTTGGACTTCAAGTACTGGCTAGTCAGCTGTTATCGGAAGAGACAGAAAGTGAGAAGAATGATGACAGCTTTGGATGGACAGCATGCTGTAAGCTTATAAGAAAGCAATCCTGGAATTAATACAAGGCACAGTATAACCTGCCAGAATGTGAATATCATGAACATGAAGAAAGCGAAATGTGAAATGAGCAGACGGCGAAACTGGAGGAGAAGCCCATAACAGCAGTTAGTACATATGTTGAATACGAAGAAGGATAAAAAGATCACAACGATGTGCAGACTGTGAGCTTGTTAGAAGAGACTGAGGGAAGGAGTGATTTCGTAGATTTGGAGCTGGAGTTGGAGTTAGTCAAGGTGGATGATGATGTTAGGAATGAAATTCTATTGTTCTGGTTATCATTTTTTTTGGTTTTGTCAAGTTTTATGATAAATAAAACTATGAAACATATATCTGTGCTTGATAATTTGGAGGAAATCTTGCATAACTCAGTAGTTCCTTTCATATGTTAACAGATACAAACATAAATACATCTTTATGTATTCGAATAAGGTGACAACATTTGTGTGAACCCGCATTAGGATGCCATTAAAAATATATAATTACTTTGAAAATTGCATCTAAGTGGCTAGAAAGGATTAAGGATAAGACTTGTTGAGATAAATTCAACTTCACTTTGTTGCATTGTTATTGACCGTCAGTTAATTGCAAGTTCACATTGATGATTCATACAGTAATTTCAAGTCGAAATTTTGATTGCGTAATCAGATATGTCGTTCTAGGTCAAAATAAATGTCCGAGAAATTAAAAAAATCTATACTACTGTAAAAGTGGAGAAAATTAGTAAACAAATGATGCATAATTTACAGAGGTGCAAAATCAATCTATCGTATACAGAGCATTCCATGAAATAATAGCAGCTGTGACGTAAAATCATTTTCATAAAGAATGCAAAAAATTTAAACTTGATGCCATTGAAAATTTGCCCGAGTTTTGCTTTGAATACTTGAAATTTAAGGTCATACACGTTAACGGATTACCTGTTACGAATTCACGAAACGTTATCTATACTTTTCCAAAAGGCATGGATAATACTATAATAATAATAGTAATAATAATAGTAATAGTTATTATTATAGTAATTGCAGGCTGACAAGGGCAGTATCGGCTTGGCAATTCCATTTAAAAATGTTTTTTCAAGGAGTTTGTGTATTAAATATATATTTTCCTAGTGTAGATCATGATACAATTTTTAGCATATGATGATCTGTGGAACATCCATGACAGGTTGATTTCTTGCTTCCAGAACAATGATCAGAACAACTTCAAAACATATCAAATATACTACTGGCGTTAGAGACGACAATTCCAGTAACTGTTGTTGGGAACACTCTAGTGTATTCTAATATATAGTATCGTTGCAGCTGGGGTCAGATCTGAGATCACTATTAGACTTTATTATGCATCTATATCTGCACATTTTTATTGCAAACGGAGATACATGCTGAGCAGAATATAAACAACCATGCATAAATATTCATACATCTGTATATGCTGGTCATAGATATATTGGTTATTTATTATAATATTCAAACTGTTTTGATGAATTTTTCATATGTTCCTGATAACATTCTGCAATTAATAATAGGATGTATGTAAGTAAACAATATAGGAAAGAACACTAGAAAAAGCTAGTTTAGCATTGTAGCGGAATTGAAGAGTACAGAAAAATAAAATGGGCACGTCCGCAATAAGTGAGATATTGGACCACGAAGCAATATTTTGAAAATGTTGGTGAAATCAGGTTGGCAACGTATGAAATTTTGTAGTATGGTGTCACAGCAATAACATATTTGGATAAATAAGGATTTTCATCTACAAGACCAGAACAGGCGGAATAGTCTATTTTGCTAATTGATATGCTTCGTGCCTTGGCTTTTATGTACATAGTAAAATTTTTCATTTTTCAGCTCAGAAAGTATTGTTTTGAAATACAAACAACAGTCCGGCTCTGAATATCTTAGTCGTCCGACTAGTTTTACTTTACCTCCAATAGGTAACTAACTAATTGTGCAAATCGGTTCGATCCTTGGTTAACTTGGAAAGTACTTCTCGCATTTCGATGAAATTTTTATAGAAGGTACTACCAAGGACGAAAATATAGTTTTTGAAAATCAGTCCACTGGCGGAGAAAAAGGCCAAGAAAGAAAAAGGAAAATAACTCAAACTTCGTTCTTTGACGTTTCAGAGGATCCTGATCATTCTTGAAAAAAAATGTTAGGGTACCAAATTTGAGGGTAGAGGGTTGTAGGAAGGTGGGGAGGGCATATCTTAATTTTTTGATGTTAGTATATTCATTCGCTCACAACCTTGGTAATTCTACATCAGACACATTTCACATATCGTAGATATCTTAAAAAACAGTATCCTCAGTAGACGGAAAGTGTGCCTATCTGCTGCGTCTGCTTCTTCTCCCAGCCGCGTGCCGACCTTGTTAAGTGATCTGGCATTACTGACGTGACTGGTGACCGAGTTAGGTATCGTCTGCAGATAGACTATCGCTATGTACCTCTTTGACTGACTTTTTTTAGGATTAAGCTTGTAATGAGCATAATTCTTCATGAAAGGAAAGTGCAGAGCCAATCTTTATTTTCAGATTTGAAAATGTCTCGGTCCATAGTACCTACCATTTCACTGCGTCGATTTTTTTCATACCCTGCATATCGCAATAGAGATAATTTTGATGCGAACGTGATGGTGTAAGGCTGCCTGCAAAAAAAGTGTGCGAATTCATGGTGGTGGTGTGGATTTGAAATTGAAAAGGTATGGAGATGCGCGAATTAGTGTGGATTATAGGTAATATCTGCCGTCAGTAAGTACATAAATGCGAAAATGATATATCGAGCCGTATTTATAAAAGAGAAGCATATCCTCGGAAGCATAAGGTAAAAGTATAAGGTCTTGCTTCGGAGAAAAAGGTAGAAGTATAAGCATATCCTTGTATTCATATTCATAATGATTACCTTATACTCGCGAGGATATCCTCCAAGAAGAAGTAAAAGGTTGACTGGTATTTGTATCTTGAGCGACATGTCCTGACTTGTTCCAGCTTGTAGTTTCGTATTTCGTATTTTTTGCTGGATACAGTTTTTAATCTAATTAATAAGCATGTCAATCTCAAGTGATCAGGAAACTATAGAAAATAATGGCAACGACGTGCAGTTCATCGCAGATAAAATTGCCATTGCTCCCATTATTTTGCAAAAGTCATAAGTTTCAAAAATAAAAATGAGAAAGGACGATGCCCTGAAGAAGATGTTGGAAAAATACGAATCAACATTCGGTAAACCATTAGATACTAAAGGCTTATTAAAAAAAAAATCAACAAAATGAAATCAAGATTGAAGAAAAAAAAAACCAGATCTAAAGAAAACTGGTAACAAAGCAATTAAATTGTTAGATTGAAAAAGAAAATTTGCTGAAAGCTACGGAAGGTGACTGTAATCCTACGATTGGGGAAAATAAGAGGTGTCATTCAGGTTGGTAGTGTTCAAGAAGAAGGAAGTGAACTATATACCGAGCGCAGTGAGCAAACAGTTAGTACTACAGCGCCAGCAATTCAGAAGACATTGCCACCAAAAAGAAAATCAGCAACAGATAAATACGAAACTGAGGAAACCAAAGGATTACCTACAAAATAACTGCAACGTCTAGTGCTATTACAGCAGTACCAAATAAGTATTTTACAACAAGAGTATTATAAAACGAAATTAGAAATGATGCAGCGTCAGAAGCCACCTGTAACTTATGATGTTCACGAAAATAAAACTTTTATAACTTATAAATACACTTTCATCAGTAAAACTATTAATTATAATACTCAAGTTTCTTCTTATTTGTTGACCTAGTTGGCGGAGAGGAAGTTCGCAATTCTCATGATTTCCTTCATCTTCATCTGGGTTTTGTTCAACTAACTCAAAGTCAGGATCGCCCAAGCTCTTGGCAACATTATCGAGTACAATACAAGCAGTAATTATTTTTGGCACATTTTCCAACTGTACGCGGCAAACATACTGTATTATAGGAAACCGGCGTTTCAGTTGGCCGAAACAACGTTCAACTATAACTCTTTCTTTTTTTAAAAGCTTATTATAATTTATTTCTGCACCTGGAGTAGTGTTTCTCAAGGGAGTCATAAGGCATGGCTCAATACCATAACCTTCATCGCCAAGTAGTACAACATTTGCTTTATTTATTAGTTGTGATCTAGCCTGTGAAATTCACCATATTCTGGAATCATGCACTGATCCAGACCAACTGACATCAACACTTGTGAACATCTCTCTGGCATCACAAGTGGCTTGCACATTTAAAGTAGGTTTCCCTTTTCGGTTGATATGCTCATCTCCATGGCGATTTGGTTTCAGGATTCCTATATGTGTAAAATCAATTACACCAATTGCTGTTGGAAATTTATACATGCTTTGCCATATCCGCTTGGCCTCCATCAGTTCATGGTTGGTAGTTGGAAACTTGATCCATTCGTTCAACTGTGCAACTATGCTGTTCACAACTCTATACACAGTCCGAGATACCGTTGCTTGACTAACACCAAATTCCTGACCAATACCTTGTTGATATCCAGGGTCATCGAGATAGCGTAGACATATCTTCGTTTTATGGATACATACTCGAGTTTCCTCATCCTCAACTAAAAATCTGTCCGCAAGCCATTGTACATTTGCTTCGTCGAACCGATGTAATTTTTTGAAGTCACGACCAAGTGAAGGTAAACGAGGTTTGTACGTTTTAACATCCCTAACATCCACAATTTCCGCCATCATCGTTTGACCACCTTTCATTACAAAGTTGAGTCTGCTACTTACCACTCTCAGAATTTTTGAAGGATATGCTTCCTATGCCAAGTATGAGGTGAAGATTATGAATATCCTTTATTTTATGTCACTGCTTTGAAGGATATGCTTATACACAAAAAGCAAGAGCATTAACTTCAAATTATTATAAATATCATTTGGAGGATTTCCTTCAAAATTTGCAAGTACAAGGATATCCTTTGTTTTATGAATACGGCTCATTGTCATAATAGTATGAATGGCGGAAAGAAGAAGCATGTTTCGATGATACAATACCTCGTATATGTAATTATAAAATAATAAAAACCTAAAATTTTTCTTTTTCACATGCACAACAGTGAATTAAAACATAGTAAACAATGACCCGCACTTACTGTATAAACCAATTTATAACCAAAGCGATGGCACTAGGAGATACTATAAGACATACTCTTACTTATCTCCAATAAGTAGACGAAAACACGCTGGCTGCTTTCATCAAAACATGAACTTAACTATTTCAATGTTTTTGGCGGGTCACACTTGAACTACCGGCAACACTTTTATTCATCCATCACGTTCACACATACATAAATTTGTAATGTGCCTCTGTACGCGGACGTTTGTTTGTGGTAAGCTAAGGCATACCCCTAACAGCACTCTTGGTTCCTGGAACGTCCATTAGGTTCAATTTGGGCCTGTAGGTTCTGTATCCAAATGGGTCATCCTTAAAACATCTCATTGGGGTTGTTCCTGGAACGTTCCATGCAGTTGGTCTCTATAAGGACATCGAGAGAAGGGATACCGTAAAAGCTCAGTAGCTTCTATTATCAAAAAATGTAATAGATTTCTCTATAACCACCATTTTGAATTTACCTTATATGGATCTTTGTAATATACAATACTTATAGCAGCTCCTGAAAATATAATTATCGGACCATATCGATAGTGTTTGCTATAATTTCTGGAGTATTTTGAGAAAGTGATCGAAAGCAATGGTTCCAAGACCAATTCATGCGTGCAAGAGCGGCTGCGATTAAGATCAACGACGTCGTATGGCATTGATAACGTAATAGCCAAAAACCTTGAAAAGGGCTATATCCGAAAATCAATCGCTTTTTCATACACCACAAAGTAAATCATAACACTTGTATCTCGCAGTTATAATTCAAATTATAACTAGTGCCTTCCTGTTCCAAAATATATTGAGTAGTAATGTCTCAACAAGCATATGCTTTTTAATTGAAAAAACGTTTTTCTGAAAATTATTACATTCATAGACAATAAAAGATCGCTCTGCAGATGACATATATATTATTTATGGATAATAGCATGATTCTCAAAAATCCATAGTATAAATTGACACAAGGTAACTCCATTGTGGATCCCAGACAAGTCATATATAATGTTAAATTAAGGTCGTGTTCTCAATTTTACCATATAAGATGCCTCAAGAATAATCAATTTGACATGATTCAAACATATAAATGAACCCGCATACGAACGTGGATTTTATTATGGTTTATTTCTTGATATTAAATGAGGTTGTGATGTGTCAAACATCTTGAAATTACAGTTTACATAATAGTCTAAGCGTGCTAAACTTGATGATATTAAATATTTATTATCTCGGAGAAATATAATAATTATAATAAAATAATGTCAATATTATACGATTTCCTGTACATTTTTACATTATCTGTCATTTCCAACAGGTAATTTTTTATTAGTATAGCTACGCGCTAAGTTCACTTAGAATAACCATTTTGTACTGTCAGATAATCATTGTTGGAAAGAACCGTATAGACTCGTATTTGTACCTACTTTGACAATAACAGTCGAGCTAGTCTGTGTGCCCGAAGATGCGTCTCGGGGAGGACCGTTTGACCTTGGACCATTAAATGTACATATTAAGCATGATCTTGTTAACAATTTTGCACTGCCCCGAGATAACCTGCTACTTTCCGCTCTTCAAAAAGTGTCTGGGACGTGCACTTTTACAGAATACTATCGCTTGCTAAGATGTAAAGGAAAACTCTCGCAACCTATCAAGTATGAAACTGGTATTAGACAAGGAGATTCGCTGAGCCCATTAATATTTATTCTGATAATGGATGAAATCATAAAGAAAGTTAAAAAAAGAAGAGGATATAGAATGGGAGAAAAGGTAATGCAGATAATATGCTACGGTGATTTCAACAGAGAAAACTAAATCGATAGTAATATCAGCGGAACCGAGACGATGTAAACTGATCGTAAATAACAAAATAATAGAACAAGTGATGGAAACGGGGAATCAAACTGTCAGGCTATGGAAAAGTGGAAGAAGAAGTACAAAAACAAGTGAACATGGCGAACAGAGCAGCAGGATGTCTCAACAATACAATCTGGAGAAACAAATACCTCGCAACGAAAACGAAAACTAGGATATATAAATCAACAATAAGATCGATAATGACATACACAGAGGAAACAAGAGCAGATACGGCGAAAACACAAAGATTATTGGAAACAACAGAAATGAAAGTCTTACGAAAAATAACAAACCAAACGCTAAGAGACAGAGTAAGAAGTGAGGAAATACGAGCGAGATGTGGTATAGAGGAAATAAACCTGTGGACCAAAATAAGAAAAATAGAATGGAATCAACACATAGAAAGAATGACAGAGTACGAATAGCAAGAGACAAATCGCCAAATGGAAGAAGATCAATGGGACGACCGAGGAAAAGATGGTCAGATTGAGGCTAAAATCCGAAGTAAAATAGGCATGAGCCTATTAATAAAGTAGGAAGAAGAAGATTATCGCTTGCCGATGATCTGCCCTAAGAAAAATTCCTGCTGGCGCCCATGGAGGTAGTTGAAACTTACCCCTAATTCATGAAGGATTTGACGGAAGCAAGACCAGAAGCTACTTGAACTTTCGGTATGGTGCATGTAGAGTATCTGACCATCTGGTTGAATATTCAAGCAATCTAAAATCGATCTTGGCTCCACTTGGAGCTGGCAAGAATAGTTCTAAATAAATTAAGTAAGTGTATAGTGAACAGATACAATATTAAAATAACTCTATGATCACACTAGCAAAAATCCCTACTTGTCGATTGATTCTCAGGAATTGCTTGATCTCCTTTAATTCGTACAAGTAGGCATATGTTCAAGATTAATCATTTACCTACTTGAATCAACAATAGCAGTAGTCTTTCGAACTTGCTACA